GTTGTGGAATGCTTTCATTTCTTCCCCTGCTTTCTGCTCTGCATGTGCCTGAGTGGTTGTGGCCTAGGACATGTGCATAGCCCTCTTGACTCCCATAAATGACTGTGATCCCAGGAGAGCTCTTTTTAGCCATCTCTTTCCCTATTTCTCTTCAAGCTGCTCTGCCATTTTGTTTGTATTCTAGAGCTTGCAGCCTCCTCTTAATTGCTCTCTACCAAGTCTGCCATTATTTTCAGCAATGTTCTTAGACATGGATTTTTATATTATCTATTTCAAATGAAGTCAGTCCCATCACACAGAGCTGCAGAGCATTTGTATTTCCAGACTATCTGTATTAGTTTTCATGCTGCTGATAAACATATTCCCAAAACTGAGAACAAAAAAAGGTTTAATTGAACTTACAGTTCCACATGGTTGGGGAGATCTCAGAATCATGGCAGGAGGTGAAAGGCACTTCTTAGATGGTGGTGGCAAGAGAAAATGAGAAAGATGCAAAAGCAGAAACCCTTGATAAACCCATCAGATCTCATGAGACTTATTCATTATCAAGAGAATACCATGAGAAAGACTGGCCTCCATGATTCAGTTACCTTCCCCTGGGTCCCTCCCACAACATGTGGGAATTCTGGGAGATACAATTCAAGTTGAGATTTTGTTAAGGCCAAACCATATCACTGCCTTTCAACCTGGGAAGAATCCCTGTGCCATTGAACCAAACTGGGGCAGGCACCCACTTTTTTCAGTAACAATCTGTTCTGTCAGTGGGCATTGAGGGGAGGTGGCAGCCCATGGTCTTCTTAGCTTGCTCCTCTCATTGTGGAATCTCTGACCAAGGAATATGTTGGGTGGGGTTGATCTGGAACCCAATATTTTCAGCATGCCATGTCTGGTATAGTTTCCATTCTGTAAGAAGGGGACAGGGTAGAGAGTACAACTTCTCAACCACTCTTTCCAGAAACATGAGCTGAAGGGTGAAAGGTAGCTGGATGAAGCAGGTCATGGCTCAAATATCATAGACTTTTAATGTTATTAACAAGGTTTAGTAGATTTTCTTGAATATTTTTCTATTTGCTGTCCTCCGTTAAATGAGTTCCAGAGACTTTAAATGATTATTTTTTAAAAAATATACTATTTTCACTAGTGAAATAATTGAAACTTTTTTTTTTTTTTTTTTGTAGAGAGGGTCTGTCAAATTCCTTACTCCTTCATTCTTGAAACCCCACACCTGAACATAAGTTTTTATTGTTTGAGCTGTTAAAATTATGAATTATTGAATTTTGAATATTAAACCAACCTTTTGTTACTGGGATAAATCCTGCTGGATTAACGTAGTATCCTTTTCGTAAATTGCTAGATCCAATTTGCTAAAATTTTGTTAAGGATCTGACATCCATATTCACTACGTAGTCTGTACACTTTGTAGTCTGTACAAATGTAGTCTGTACATTTCTTTTCTCATGATGTCTCTGATTTGTCATCAGAGTAATGCTGACCTCCTAAAATGAGTTGAGAAGAATGCACTACCATTTTATATTTTGAAAGAGTTTATGCAAGATTGATATTATTTCTTTGTTAATTGTTTAGTTGACTGGTAAAGCCATCCTTGACTGGAGTTGGCTCTGTGTGAAAGGATGTAATTGTAAATTCAATTTTAAAACTTGGCTTATACTTATTCAGATTATCTATTTCTTCTTGAGTGAGCTTTTGTAGTTTGTATCTCTCAAGGAATTTGTGCATTTCATCTAAATCTTCAGGTTTTTGGCATAAATTTACCATAATATTTCTTTATTATTCTTTCAAAGACTGTGGAACCTATAGTGATATCCCTTTCTTGATACTGGTAAACTGTATGTTCTCTTTCTTTGCTATCAGTCTGACTAGAGTTATGTCAATTTTAGTGATATTCTTGAAGAATCAGGTTCAATTTCATTGATTTTCCTGTACTGTTTCTTTGTTTCCTATTTTAGTAATTTCTTCTCTTATATTTGTTTTTTCTTATGTTATTTTCCACTTACTTTTCTGTTTCTGTTTCTTTTCCAGTTTCAAAACCTGGAAACATAGGGCACTAATTTTAGATGCTTCTTCTTTCATAATACAAAATTTGATGCTATAAATTTCTACTTCAGCACTATTTTAGCTGCATCCCACAAGTTTGATCAGTTATATTTTCCTTTTCATTTAGTTCAAAATATTTTCTAATTCCCCTTTTAATTTCCACTTGTATCTATGGGTGTTTTAGATTTGTATTTTTTTGGTTTCCACATATTTGGGGATTTCATCTATGTATTTACTTATTTTCTTTCTACTTATATCAATTGTCTTGAAAGGCATGCCAACATCTCCAACCCTAATTGTGGATTTGTTTATTTCTCCTTTCAGTTCTATCAGAATTTGCTTCATGTAATTTGAATTTCTGCTGGGAGGTACATAAACATTTAGGATTGTTATGTTCTATTGATGAATGAACATTTAGGAGTGCTACATCTTGTTAATGAATTGACACCTTTATCATTATAAAATCACCCTTTATCTGCATTATGCTTCTTGTTCTGAAGGCTACTTCATCGAATATTAATATAATGACTCCAACTTTCTTTTGATTAGAAATTGCATGGTACATTTGTTTCCATCCTCTTACACTAATCTATTCGTTTGTTTGTATTTAAAGTGTTAAGGACTGTATGTTTAAATAGCATATGTAGTTGGGTCTTGAGTTTTTAATCTCATTTGACAATCATTGCTTTTTAATTGGAGTGTTTAGGTCATACATACCTATATGGATAGATTTAAATTTGCCATCTTGCTATTTGTTTCATATTTATCTCACATTTTCTTTCTTTCCCCTTTCCTCTCTTCTTTTGCATTATTTCTTCATGTTGCATTTAACCTATTTTATTACCTGATTAGGTTTAATTCTTTTTTTCTTTTTATTGCTGTAGGGTCTATAGCATTCTTCTTTAAGTGACACTGCCTACTTTCCAATAATATTATATCCCGTTACATGTAGCATAACAACTTTGTAATAGTAAACTTCCATTTCCCCTTCATATGAGTAATATGACTTTTACTACTTTTATTATATATATTTTCTTTTACATATGTTAGTAGCCCCCAAAAACATTATTATTTTTGTTTTCAACAGTCAATTATATTTTAAATAAATATGAACAATAAGAAAAACCATGTTTTAAATTTACCTACATATTTATCTTTTCTAATATTATGTACTTTGATTAAATTCAAATTTTTATCTTATATCATTTTCCCTTTGCCTTAAAAACTTCTTTTAACATTTCTTATGCTTCTTTTCTGGTGAAGACTTCTTTTGGCCTTTTAAGTCTGAAAACAGTCTTTATCAATTCTTCATTATTCAAAAATATTTTTATTGTGTTTAGATGAGTAAGTCAGTCACTTTTTTTAAAGAAAGTACTTTAACAATGTTGCTCGTCTGTCTTCTGACTTTCATTGTGACTGAAAAGAAGTTTTTTGTTAATCTTATGATTTTTGCTCTTTGAATAATGTCTTTCTTCTCTGAGGCTCTTTTTTTAAGAGTCTCTTTCACTGGTTTTCAGCAATTTGATAATGATGTGTCTCTGTAGTTATCTTCATGTTTCTTTTTGTCACGTTCACTGAGCTTCTTGGATACATGTGTTTATAGTTTTCATCACATTTGAAAATAATATGGTCATTATATCTTCTATTATTTTTCTCTCCTGCCAATCCTGCAGGACTTTAATTATACATATAGAAGGACATTTGATATTTTCCACTGTTATCTCATGCTGTGTTCATTTTTTCCGGTTTTCTTTTGTTTTCTTTTAGATTATTTCTCTTGAAGTATTCAAATGTATTGACCTTTTTTTTTAATGTAGTGCCTAATCTGCAATTAGTGCCATTTAATTTTTTTAATCTTTAGAACTCCAATGTGGATCTTTTTTATATTCTCTATTTTTTTCCTCATTGTGCTCATGCTTTCCTCTAACTTCTTGAATATACATTGCATGTTTTATATGTTTCTAATAGATGCACATTTGCCTGTTCATTTTTTTATCAGTATTGTTTCTTGGTCTGTTTCTCCTAATTTATATTTCTCTTCATTATTAGTCACATCTTCCATTGTATGACTATTCATTTTTTATTGAAGGCCATGAATTATGATTTTACATTGTTGAGTTTTCTGTTTTGGCTAGGGTATTATGTAAAATATTTGGGGTTTTGTTCTGAGATGAAATTACTTGGAAACAATTTAGTACATTCAAGCCTTGCTTTTAAATGCTGTGAGAATAGCCAGTACTTTAAGGCTAATTTTATTCCACTACTAAGGCAATATTCTGTGGCATCTATCTTATGGCCTCTATATCAGGACAGCTTTTCACTCTGGTTTGGTTAGTGGAACACAAAACATTACCATCCCTATGAGAGCTCCAAAAATTGCCAGCCTGCTCCTTTCTGGTCGTTATTTCCTAAGTCTTGGTAGCCTCTTCACATATAGGCACACTGATTGGTACTCACCCAGACTCTTGGGAAAGTCTCTACAACTGTCCTGACCTCTCTCTATCTATGTAGCTGTCTTCTGTCTTGTACTCTGCCCCACAAACTCTGGATGCCTTTGCCTATATTTACTCTTTTATCACCTCAATTTGGTAAAACTGCTGGGATCTGTTTGGCTTCCTTTTCCTTATCCTGTGGCCATGAAAATCTCTCCAGACAGAGACCTAGGCACTTGTAGGGCCTATATCATTTGCTTTCCTTTTCTGGGGTCACTGTCCTGTGCTGCCAGTGGTCCATCATGGCCAGAAACAGGAGTCCCTCTACTTTATTTCCTTAAAAACAATGGTTGTCAATCTTTGTCCGTTTAGTTTTGTTTTCTTTTTTCAGAAACAGTTAAAAGTCATTCAGAGCCAAATTGGCTTAATAAGGGCAATCACTAGGAGTGACTAAAAAGGAATGAAAGATATTTTCTCATGCAGCCCGTAAACCAACTCTGTTCTTGTTTACAGGTACAGGACACAATATCCAATCCTAGGCCTCCTGTATGATGACTATGAGTATATACCACCAGGTAGTGAAACACAGACTATTGTGATTGAGAAAACAGAAGACAAATACACTTGTGTAAGTTCACTTGGGTATTTTTAGCCCTATTTTGACTATATATGTACAGTCTTTTAAAATTGAGGTAAAATACCAAATGAACAAAAAATTTTGAGTATTTTTTTTCTCTTGAGATTTTCTGTTACCATTATTGATATATAGTGGGAATTAAGAAACTTTGGAAAGATTCATACATGGGGAAATATAATTGATTATTTGAGGTATAATAAATTAAATATAATTTTTGCCCCATAAAAGGAAGAAGATTAACATTAGCAATATGCTAATTTTATTTCTTTTCTTGCCTATCTCGGTAGTTATTGAATGGGTTCCATTCAGATTTTCCAAAATAGTTTCCCTTTTATTAAAGCAGGTAGCAAATATCATAGACAATTATGAAGGGAAGTAAAAAATGGAGAAGAGGCATGTTTCAATAGAATTTGTCTTGCAATCTTGTATGTGGTACTTATTTCTGCAGATTATATATATATTAGGGTTTTGAAAGAAGACATGTTTCTAGCTTCCACCCTAGACTGTAAAAGCCTCCAGTTTTAAATCTCACCATTCATTATATTAAGGCTGCTGAAAAGTACTTTAAACATCATATACTCCAATATTTGCTCTACCTTCTACAACATCCTCCAAGATGGCCAGGTGACATGGACCTTAGCATCTTTCTAAGTGGTCCAATACATTGCTAAGAGGACTGATTATTGAAACCTTCTTACAAAGGACTGAGAGCTACTTCTCTAAAACTTTTGCACATTGCTCTATTCACTTTTAAAGTAATGAACATCAAACAGGGGATATATAGTTGTCCCTCAACATCCATGAGAGATTGGTTCCAGGATTCCCTGCAGATATCAAAATCTGTAGATGCTCAAGTCCCTTATACAGAATGGCATATTTGCATATAATCTATGCACATCTTACTGTATATTTTAAGTCATTTCTAGATTCCTTACAATATCTAATTCAATGCAAATTCTAAGTAAGTGTTATAGTGTATTGTTTAGGAGGTATTAACAGTAAAAAAGTCCATACATGTTCAGTACAGAAACAATTTTTTTCCTGAATATTTTCAACTCATCATTGTTGGGGAACTCATGGATATCAAAGTCCAACTATATATTCCCTAGCACAGTTGCTTTCTCTAGCAGCAATTTTGTACCTTAGGGGACATTTAGCAATGTCTAGAGACATTTTTGGTTTTCAAAATCAGAGGGGTGGGTATTATTGGCATCTAGTGGGTAGAGAACTAGGATGCTGCTGAACATACTACAATGTGCAGGACAGTCTCCCCCACAAAGAATTATCCAGCCCCTAATAGTGTTGAGGTTTAACAACTATGCTAACACAACAGAATGCTCTTGGTTTTTTTTCCTATTTATACATTCCTACACTGGTGCAAGAGCTTCTAATAGTAAGATACTGGTAGGGATCATAAGAATGGGTGATATCCTTCTGGTGAAATAGACACATAAAAGATTGAGGATCCTAGTTCTCAAACCTGTATACAGATCTGACTTAAAACATTGTGAAAATGACAGCCTTTGATTTCTTGTAATAAAATTACCTACTTGTCAAACTACTGAGGTACTAAAAGTAGGCAAAACTAAATCTATGGCTATTAAATAAAGAAATGGTTATCCTTGTGGGGTGGATACTGTTTGAAAGGAACCATAAGGAGGGATTCAAGGATTCTAATAATGTTCTGTTTCTTTATCTGGGAGATGGTTGTATATGCATGTTCAGTTATACAACTATCAATCAAGTATTCTGCAGAACCTTTTGAAAAATATTTAAAAATTACACTTCACATGTATAGTTAATAAAATTGAACATCTGTTAAAAAACCTTTAAACAAGCTCAAATATTTGTGTCAACAAAAAAATTCAAAAAGTTTCTTTAGATCTGAAGCCCTTCTTTAACTTCAATCCAGCCATCAATCTTTTAAATATTGTTATCATCAATGAAAGCAACCAATGTTTAGTAATCCCAAAGTAAAAATAACTGCATTTAAACTCTGAAATGTTGTTTTTGTTAGGTCATTACTTAATCAAAAATTACTTATTACTAATTATTAACCCATAGAATTTTAAATTTGCCACTCAAAGATAATTTGATGCCAAAAGTTAAGACTGAGAAGCAATTGCTGCTACTAACCCTAACCATATGTACCTCAGAGATGGCAATATGAAGATCTGCCAAATAAAGGGTCTACAGAATAGTAGCACTACTACTCTCTCGATTAAAAATGTGCAGCTGTAAAAATCAAAATTGATATTTGAAGATTCTATAGTTACTGGTAGCAAGGTCAAAATATATTCAAGTGCATTCACAGATGAAAATCCATATTTATTAACAGAGATGATTGGACATATTTAAACTCTAAGTATTACTAAGGAGGATATCTACTTAATTCTCCTTCCCTCATGCTTAAAGTCATTTGAAACAGACCATGACTAAAGTTAGAAAGACAAATCGTTGTTTCACTGAATATATACATATAATAGAGTGCCACAAAAGTGCAATACATATCCTTTGGTTTTGTACATATCAATTTAAATAATTTTCCATAACTTTGCATACAGTAACAATGACTTTAATTATGAACCAGTTGTAAAATAACCTTTTTTTTTTCTTTTCTAGCCATGAATGGATCCAGTTTAAAGTATTACTACTCAAAGGCATTTTTTTGTGTGTGTGTATATCTGCATTAGTACTTTGTTATTTTCCCACCACTAAAGGCCAATCAGAATTTGGAACTGTGCTGCTATTCAAGAAATCTAATGGAATGAATGAATTAGTTCTGCATATGAGAGTTTCTTCAATCATTTAGGAGACCTAAATCTTTTCCATAACACTTAGGTATACAGTACAACAACAAACTAACTGAAAGAGGGATCTGCTTGTTTAAAGTTTGATTGCAGACACTGTAGAACATAACTCACTATTTTTCAGATAGGGCGCCTCCTAGATATCAAACTAATTTGTTAGGAAAGATATTTTACAAGGTATGCCATTAGATTTTATCTGATATTATATGTGCAGTTCAGTTACAAAATGAAATCACGTTTTTTTAACAGAAAAGATAAAATACATTGAAGTAAAAAAACAATAGCTAGTGTATAGTATATACAGTCTAAATTTGCTTTTCACACTAGGCCTTGTGACTAAAAGATATGCTACATTGCATGCTATTTTCACCTCTTGGAGATATAGCTAAGTCAAAGGTGACAATTAATTTCATTTAGCAGGGAAGTGGAATATTATATTTTGAAATAACTAAGTCTACTAAATTACACAGTATGCTATTCTGGTTCTAAGTACATATTAGTGTCTTAGTAAATCTGTTCTTTCCAAGCATAACTTCCACAAATGAGCCTACCTACTTCTTAAAAAACATGTAACACAAAATAGTAGTAGTAAGTGGAAGGAAGGTAAGCTTTTTCATGGTGGTATGTAAACATATCATTGAAATATTACATAGATATAAAGGCTTAGGGAATAAAAATAGCAACAAAAAATATTTGATAGATTTATCCTACTTGGGAGAAATATTTTGTAGCAAAGTATTTAGTATACTTAGAAGTTGGTTGAACAATTGGGCTTTAATGACCTCACAAAGTGAACATAAGTATTTTTTTCAATGCAAGATGAGGACAAAAATTTTAAATTTCAACCCATCGGACTAAAGTTAAGACTTAGTAAAATTTAAAATGGTGCCTTTGTCCAAGTATAGATTAAGACAACAAACATATTTGGGTTATATAATTTGAAGTTTTGCACTGAAATATCCTTGTATGTATCCACATAAAATCATGTAATGCCTTATAATTATATTTTAATATGCATTATACTAAGAAATCATTAAGAACAGATGAGGCACTATAGTAAATTAAACCATAAATGAGGAAAATACTTTTAATGTTTTTCTAGAAATATTTAAATGGTCTTGATATGAAGCTGGAGGCCTTATTTATATTACCTTAATACTTTGGCTAAAATGTTAAGCTCCATAATATGAATTAATACAATTCAAATTTTATCAATATTTTGTGGTAGAAAAATGATAATATTCTTCATGAGCTATATCGTCCTTACATTTTTTTCCCTTGGTGTAGGAACAACAGAGTTTTTCCTCTGCTAACTATTCACATATGTAACTAACAAAAGTGTGCTATATTATGCACACATTACAAATAATATAAGGGGAAGCTTTATTAGCTTAATAGGGAACTGCTATTTTTAAGGTTTAAAAATGAGAACAGGTGTGATTTTTCCAAAATATTTAAAAATCCAAAATTCAGGGGCAGTTGAGAAGTTGTGGATGGAACTAGAGGCCATTATGTTAAGTGACATAAGCCAGGAACAGAAAGACACCTAAAGTACAATAAAAAAAAGAAAGAAAGAAAGAAAGACAAACATTGCATGTTCTCAATTATGTGTGTGATCTAAAAATCAAAACAATTGAACTCATGAATATAGAGCATAGAAGGATGGTTACTAGAGGCTGGGAAAAAGGATGTGTGAGGGGAACTGGGGATGCGTAATGTGTACAAAAACCATATAGATAGAAAGTATGAGTAAGACCTAGTATCTGATAGCACAACAGGGTGAGTGTAGTCAATAATAGCTTAATTTTACATTTTAAAATAACTAGAAGAGTATAACTGGATTGCTTGTAACACAAATAATACTTGAGTGGATGGATAACCAATTCTCCATGATGTGATTATTTCACATTAAATGCCTGTACTGAAATATCTCATGTATCCCATAAATAAGTATACCTACTATATAGCCACAAAAAAAATTAAAAAGTAAGAAGTCAGCACTTTATTGGCTCACTTGATCCATGGATAGTGAATTGGTGTCATAATAACTTCCCTTATCATACTTAACAATTTTTAAAATTGTAATACAAAATGTAATGATATAAAGAGCTATTCTATTTAAATGACTATTTAAATATATATACATTTCTTTTTCAATTTGTGATTAAGATCAATAGAAGTAGTAGTGATATATTTCCCTCTCATAAGTTTCACACTGCTTATCTCTGAAAACTTCAAAGTTGTCAGGTGAAGAGTGCCTATTTATCTAATTTCTATTCCAGTATATTTTCACTTTAGACATGTCAAATAAAATGGAGGTTGTGCAATGGCATGCAAAGTAATCTGTTTATGTGTCTAAATAAAATATGTGAAGTATTTACATGGTTTGTGTGAAAGTCCAAGTAGGAAATATGCAGAAGGATTTTTAGCTTAGCTATATATTTTTGTCAGGAAATTATCATCATGTGAATGTTTATGTTGAAGCTAACAAGCATCACTCTCATAAAAAAAAAAAAAAAGCAGAAAACTTCCCTATTTGGACTATTTTAACACAGTTCAAACTCCAGTTAAAGCAGGTTTCTTCTTTAAATTAGAATTTCTTTGCTTTAAAACTTAAGTTTTCAAAGTTCCATAACTCACTTGTTCCATAAAGCATTCTTCCCAACCTTGTAATGGTGCTTTTGCTGTCTGTCTTCTTCTTAACATAGACAGTACAAAAAGAACAAAATAAAGTCTTAAAAAAATTTCCATCTTACTACCCAATTTAGATCACCTTAACAAAAAGCCATCATCACACCTTTCCCATTATTGCAATCTACAAAGATGACATTTCTTTTGAAAATAATTATTTTGAAAGTAAATAATATGCTGTGAAAAGGTTTCCTTATGAGGTACATCTTCCCCACCACATGCCAAAACTCAATTTACTGGATTTCCATAGTACTTTATGTCCAGTTAAAAAAATAAAAAGTATTTCATGTACAACTTAGGATATATGAAATAGTACATAGAAAACATTTAAATGAAGGAAATAATAAACAAGTGCGTCTTTCTTAATAAAACATTTAACAATATTTAGTCCTGAAGAAGACATGCCTCTTTTTAGTTTATAAAAGAACACTTAAATTAATTTATGACAAAATTAGATAGCCAGGCAGTCTTGGTAATCTTAGACTGGTCTATCACAGACAATGAGATGTTAACTTCATAGCCTTTGTTTGGTTTCCCATCCGACTACATTAAAATAATTCTTTTTCAGATGGAAGTATATGTTCGAGAGATCCTTTATGTTAGGGAACAGTGTTTCCAATGTAATGCTTTGATTCTGTAGTTTGTTAGATAACAGTGTTGAATACATATAATTCATATGTGCCAAGATCCAATAAGGCAGATAAATTTCTTAAAATGGGAGAAAATATAGGCTTTCTGATCTACTTCCCTAAAAGGACCTGATGAGACAGCCATGTCATGATGGGTGAGTGGTGTTGGAATCTAGGATAAGAGGGTTTTGGAATCAGATGGGACGTGACTAGGACTTACATTATAGGTTAAATGAGGTAGTGTCAATATTGTCAATTGGTCCAGATTTTAAAATGGGACAGAGTTCCCTTTGGAGTAGTTACTTTGGTAATGCTCAAAGAGAAAGGCATAATTGAAACAGGCAGGTGACACATTTTTAGTTTGGGGCATCTAGTGCTATACCCTTGAAGTTACAAATTAGTCCATTTCTTCTGCAGGATCTTTAGAAATCTAAAGACCCCCTGATAACAATATCCAGTTCTTATCCAGGATCCAAGCCTCTTGAGAGATCTTTCTCAGTCAGTTCCAAATTTACAGGTTTTAATTCTTTTGGAATGAAAGGGTGAAGCTGAACAAAGTTGGGAGATTGGGAATGGTCTCAATCCAATTATATTTTAAGGTTCTAATCTAGCCCTGCAGCTTCTCTAAATGATGCCTTGTTAGTTAAAAAAAATAATCTTACTGTATAGAATTCCCAGCCTAGCCACCTTTTTCTTGGTTCTCACAAGGGGAAGTAGAAGGAGTTAGATGATTCTTTTGTTTCTCTGCCTTCATAGAAGATGAGTCATTTCCCCACTGGAAGTACCCATGTTAAGAGTTGTGCTATATCCTTCAAAAATTGTTGCAAAAATTTCTGGGATTTGTTACAAATTAAACCAGTGGGGGAAGGAGGCATCAAAATAAGCTAACCAGGGGTAAGTGGATGAAGGGTTAAGTGAGGAAGAATACAAATGAAACAAGATTGGCCATAGTGGTAATTGTTGAAGCTGGGTGATGGCTATGTAGAGGTTCATTATATTTTTCTACTTTTGCATATGGTTTTCTGCAATTAAAGGGATATATATCTTTAAGGGAAGTTTAAGGTTCAAATTAAACTTGTGGTTGTCCTGTAAGAGACATGAGGAGTTGAATTTAAGGGCCCCATCAGGGTAAGATTTCCCAAATACTTTCTTCTCCATCATGGTATAAGCAATTTAAAAGTGACAATTGGATAAATCCATCTACACATGGTCACCCTGTTCTGGAAAAAATGATTTTACAGTAATTCCCAATTTTTTCTTTGTCTTGTGAAGGTACTTGAACTTACAGATCGACATTTTTAGGTGGAATCTGTTCTGGTATGTAGGAAAGCCTTATGCCAGGAAGAGCTGTATTTTTGAAGACAATATTTTTTTTTGTAACGTGGGCTAAATTCATATCTATTCTGCCTGGGCTGCCATTTTCTAAGCCCAACATACAAGTAGAAGAAAATCCATACACTTTTCTCCAGCTCCACTGTAACCATGACAACTGGAATAACCTCTTACATGGGTGCATCCCTCAGCTCCTTCACATTTCTTAGAGCCTCCAGAGTTATTTTCAAAACTTATAGCAGTACTCTTTGCCTTAAATTCTCCCAATGACTTCCCATTTCAAACTTTTCATAGGTCTCTTCTTTCTTATCTTT